GCAATGGATGCCACCAGGACGCACGGCTAGCAGGAGCCAGTCAGGCATGCCCTGCTGTGGAGCAGAGCCGGCTGGCGCACCGGCGATACTAACTCAGCGCGCCGCGAGAGGCGAATCTGGGCGACTTTGGAGGCGCAGTTCTCGAGCTTGCCGTCGACGATTGATGTCGGGTAAATTGTCACTGCCGTCGGGGAAGGTCTTCTCTCAGCAGGCCGAGCGCCGTGGCCTGGCTCGGCTCGCCGCGAACGCCGCGAATTTATCAGTGCCAAAACTCACGAGACCTCGATACTAACAAAGACTACGATACTTGAGGTAGCGCATATCTTTCCTGCCCAGTGGAGCCCATGAGCGGCGCCATCAGCCCGACCTTGCTCGCCGAGCTGGCCAAGGGCGACCTGGCCTCGCTGCGCGCCCTCCTCTCCGGGCGGACGCGCGGCCCGGCGCTCACGGCCCTGCTCGACGCGCGGCTCGAGGCCCAGAACCACTTCACGCTGCTGGTCTACGCCGCTTGGTGCGGGCAGGCCGACGCCGTGCGGCTGCTGCTCGAGAGCGGCGCGAGCGTGGGGGCGACGACCGGCGGCGGCTCCACCGCGCTGGCCATCGCTTGCCAGAAGGGCCACCTTGAGTGCGCCCAGCTGCTCCTCGAGGCCAGCGCGGCGGTCGACCAAGCCAAGAACAACGGTGCCACGCCGCTGTCCATCGCGTGCCAGAACGGCCAGCTCGAGTGCGTGCGGCTGCTCCTCGGCGCCAGCGCGGCGGTCAACCAAGCCAAGGACGACGGCGCCACGCCGCTGTACGTCGCGTGCGAGAAGGGCCGCCTCGAGTGCGCCCGGCTGCTCCTCGGGGCCAGCGACGCGGCGGTGAACCAGGCCACGGAAGGCGGCTTCTCGCCGCTGTACGTCGCGTGCTGGAGCGGCTACCTCGAGATCGCCCGGCTGCTCCTCGGGGCGGGCGCGGCGGTCGACCAAGCCACGGAATACGGCGTCACACCGCTGTACATTGCGTGCGAGAAGGACCACGTCGACGTCCTCCGGCTGCTCCTCGAGGCTAGCGCGGCGATCGACCAAGCCAGGGGCGACGGCACCACGCCGCTGTACATTGCGTGCCAGAAGGGCCACCTCGAGTGCGTTCGGCTGCTTCTCGAGGCTAGCGCGGCGGTCAACCAAGCCAGGGACGACGGCGCCACGCCGCTGTACATTGCGTGCCAGAAGGGCGACCTCGAGTGCGTTCGGCTGCTACTCGGCGCCGACGCGGCAGTCAACCGAGCCAAGGACAGTGGCGTCACGCCGCTGCACATCGCGTGCTACCATGGCCACCCCGCCATCGTGCTCTGCCTGCTGCGGGCGGGCGCAGACACAGCGGCGTGCGATGCGAGCGGCAAGACGGCGCTGCAGCTGGCAAAGGAGGAGGGCCACGGCGAGTGCGAGCGCGCACTTGTGGCGGCGGCGAGGGAGGCGAAGAGAGCGGAGATTGAGGCGAGGGTGGCGAGGGCAGTGGCCGAGAGGGCGGCGGCAGAGAGGGTGGAGGCCGAGAGGGCGGCCGAGGAGGCTGCGGCGGCGCTGCTGGCGGAGGAGGAGGCGGGGAAGTGCCCCGAGGAGAAGAAGACGGCCAAGAAGAGGGGCAAGAAGAAGAAGCAGGGCGGAGGGGGCGGCGCTGGGCCGTCGCAAGAGGCCGAGGCGCCGGCAGAGGAGGCGGCGGAGGAGGCGGTGGCGGCGGCGGAGGAGGCGGAGCTGGCGGCGGCGCTCGAGGAGAGCGCGAGGCTGGGGGAGGGGAGGCGGGCGGCGGAGGCGCAAGGGCCGTCCTCGGCCGCAGAGGCGCCGGCTCCGAGGGAGGAGGAGCCGCCGGCCGACTTCATCTGCCCGATCACGACCGAGCTCATGAGTGACCCGGTGATGGCGGCGGACGGGCATTCGTACGAGCGGTCGGCGATCGAGCGCTGGCTCGCGACCAAGTCGACGAGCCCGATGACGGGCGAGGCGCTCGTGCACACCTTCCTCGCCCCCAACCACACGCTGCGCCGGATGATCCGGGAGTGGGAAGAGGCGAACGCATGCTGAAGAGCGCAGCGCTTGCGCCGCCCGCCACCGTCGGGCCGTCGGCTCACACTCACACCGTCCCGTGACTAGCGGACTACGCGCCCTGAGAGGACGGCGACCTCGTTGTGCATGGAACAAAAGTTAGAGTCGGTGTGCGTGAGCGAGACGACGCGGCGGCCCTGCGCAGTCCACATACTGTACGCCCGTGCGGCTCCACCGCCTGGAAAAGTCCTACTAGCTGCGCGGCGTTTTTTATAACTTTTTCGGCTGTCGCCCCTTTTATTTACCTTGCTACTTTACCATCGGCGCGTGTCCCTCTCAGCACCTCCAACACGGTTTTAAACCCTCGCCGCCTCGCCTCGTCCTCGGGCGTGTGCCCCCACCGATCCTTGAGCGAGCCAATCGGGCGGCGCAACGACCTCAAAAGTGTGCCTGCCAGCACCGGCGAGCCAGCGCACGCAGCGATGTGAAGCGCCGTACGGCCGTCGTAATCGCACGCGGAGGGGAGGGCGCCGGCGGCGAGGAGGGAGGCCAGCAGGCCGGCGTCAGACGTTGCAGCCGCGTTGCAAAGCAGCGACGCCTCCTCGTGCTCCGGCAGGCGCAGCGTCGCGCCCAAGCGCTTCAGCGCCTCGACGCAGCCTCCGTGCCGGTTGATCGCAGCCTCGTGGAGCGGGGTCCGCCCGAACCTATCGACCGGCGAGACGTCGCACCCCTCGCCGGCGAGCAGCTCCACCATGTCCACGTGCCCCTGCGCTGCGGCGAGGTGCATCGCGGTCCTGCCGTTCGTGCAGGGGTGCGGTTAGGACCGCCGCTCACTCAAAAAGGGGGCGCGTGCGGACGGGTGGTGCGCAAAATGATACGGCGGCACCTGCCGTCGTAGTCGGGCGGCACCGACGACGCGTCGACCGTCAGCAGGAGCCGCTGCACCGGCAGCAGCAGATTCTTTGCGGCGAGGTCGCAAAGAGTCGTCGACAGCGCTCGCTCGCGCTTGGCCTTTTGGCCGCGCAGCGCCGCCGCCAGGGCGCCGCACCGCTCGCCGAATGCAGAGACGGCGGCGCTCTCTGCGGCGGCGCGCTCCACCGCCGCGTCGGAGCCGGAGCGGCTCCGCCCGCTCGACCAGCGCCGCCGCCGCGGAGGCGACGGCGGAGGGGGCGTGGCGGCCTGCTCCGCGGCGCTCTGCCCCCACGCCTCGGCGCGCGAGATGAGGCGCGCGAGGATGCGGCGGCCCTGCGCCGGGAAGGCCTCGAGGAGGGCGTCGCGGTCGGCGTCGGTCAGCTTGAGCGCGCGCGTGAGGCTGGTGATCGCAATCTCCCACGGCATCGCGAGGCCCGAGAAGAAGGACCTATGGTGTAGCAGCGGGACTGGTACAGCTGGAAGGCCACTCGGCGTCACCTCTGCTCCTGACACGGGCCAGACTCTGCTCCGAGCACGGATCCGGAAGTGTCTAGGAAGTGTCTAGGAAGTGTCTAGGAGGCCAGACTCTGCTCCGAGCACGGATCCGGCGCCGCAGACGTGCACAGCCACGCCCTCCACCACCACCTCCGCTCCGCCGTCCACAACCACCCACAAGTCCTGCGCCAGGTCGCCCGGCTCGAAGACGCGCAAGCCGCTCATGAGCATCAGCTCCTCCGCGCGAGCAGCCAGCGCCGCGACGAAGCGCGCGTCGTCGCCCTCGCCCGCCGCGGCCAGCAGGGGGACGCGCGAGAGCAGCGGGAGGTGCCTCGTGTTGCGCGCCTTCTTCGTGAGGAAGGAGGGGAGCTTGCGCTCGAAGGCGGAGGCGTCGACGGTGCCAGAGACGTGCTGCAGCCACAGGTACGCCTTCATGCTGCGGCGCAGCGGCGGGGGCAGGCCCGTGCTGCGCACGTACCTGCCTAGCATCAGCAGGTCGCGCCGGTACGCGGCCCGCTCCCCGTCGCCCCGCGTCGCGAGCATGGCGACGGTGCCGATGATCCACGCGGTGAGTGCGAGGTTGGCGAGCATGTAGGCCGTGGCAAACAGACGCTCGCCCGTGGTCTCTGGCGAGTAGTCTCCGTACCCGACGGTGCAGAGGGTCGTGACCGCCTAATGAACTATTAATTGACTTTTAATTATTAATTACGCCCCCGACGGTGCAGAGGGTCGTGACCGCCCAGTATATCGCGAGCACCCACTGCTGGCCCCAGCCCTGCGCGTCGCCGAGGCCGTGCTCAAACATCTCCTCGCCCGGCGCGGCGAGGTACCAGATCGTGCAGCCGCCGACGTGCGCGTCGAGCAGCAGCAGGAGCGTGAACTTGATCGCGAGGAGGCCTCCGTACGAGAGCCGCTCGTCGAGCTCGAGCTGCCAGAAGAGCGCAGAGAGGCGGCGCGCGCGGAGGAAACGCAGGTAGGCCAGCAGTCTGATCGAAGTCAGCGAGTCGACCGGCGCTGCCGCCAGCAGGTCGAGAAGCAGCCACTTCCGGCAATAGCGCCGCGCAACCGCACTAGGCTGCGACACGACCTCGCCAGTAGTGGCTCGCTCGTACGTCAGGACGAGCGATACGAGCACGTCCAACGAGAAGAAGAGGTCGGCAGCGTGGCTGGCGGCGGCGAGCGGCGGCGACCCGTCAAAGAAGGCGAGTTGCAGCGGCACGGCCATGAGCGTCGCCACCGTGCCGAGCAGCGCCACATAGCGCCACGCAGCGTATGCGGCGCCCTTGTGGCTGATCGTCCAGCAAGAGCCGGTCGCAAGTGCACTCTGACGTGAGCCCGGCACCACGACAGCATCGCTGTCGAGGAGTGGCGCGCGGAGGAGCTGCTGCTGGCGGGACATCGTGTGAATCAGGAGCGGCCCGGAGAGCGTAAAGAGCAGGGGCAGAGCGATGACCACTTGCCGGCATCGAATGGTTCCGCCATCGAATGAGAGGGGTGCAGGAAAAAAGAAAAAAACGAGCCTTCTTTTCCTCGTCTGCCCCAGCCGCAGGCCGCAGCCCGCAGCAAGGGTTCAACTCACTTCTTTGCGAGCGTGACGGCAAGCTGCGTCAACTCCTCCTTGAACTCAGCCAGCTGGTCCTTGAGCTCCTCGTGCTCAGCCTTGAGCTGCTCGTGCTCAGCCTTGAGCTGCTCGTGCTCAGCCTTGAGCTGCTCCTTGATCTCAGCCTTGAGCTGCTGCTGCTTCTCAGCGCTAGCCTCGAGGGCAGCAAGGCGGCGACCTGGGTTTGACGCAACGGTAGAGCCAGCGACAACCAGGTCGCCGCTGATGACGACGGTGCCGTTCTTGTACACCGTGAGCGCATCCTTGCGGTTCAAGTCGTCAGTGCCAATGCCCACTCGAAATGCGGCGTCAGCGGTAACCCAGGAGGTCGTAGAGGGAGAGCCGCCGAGAGCGTTGTACTGCCCCACAACTGTCTCCGCCAAGCTTTCTGCCGTCGTGTAGCCGCCCATGGCGGTGCTGTAATCCCCCGAGGCCGTCGTAAATTCGCCCATGGCGGTGCTGGACCACCCCGAGGCCTTCGTGAAGGCGCCCATGGCGGTGCTGTATTCCACCGAGGCCGTCGTGTTGCAGCCCATGGCGGTGCTGTAATCCCCCGAGGCCGTTGTGTAACTGCCCATGGCGGTGCTGTATGTCCCCGAGGCCGTCGATTGGTTGCCCATGGCGGTGCTGTATCCCCCCGAGGCCGTCGTGTTGAAGGTCATTGTGGTACTGTATTCCCCCGAGGCTGTCGTGAGCATGCCCATGGCGGTGCTCTGATACCCCGAGGCCTTCGTGCCCTCGCCCATGGCGGTGCTGAACATCTCCGAGGCCGTCGTGCTGTAGCCCATGGCGGTGCTGTATTCCCCCGAGGCCGTCGTGAAGGCGCCCATGGCGGTGCTGAATGTCCCCGAGGCCGTCGTGCTGTAGCCCATGGCGGTACTGTAATCCCCCGAGGCCGTTGTGTTGTAGCCCATGGCGTTGTGGATATCATCCCCCGAGGCCACACCGCCAGCAGTGCCTTGCGAACTTGTTGGAGCCGCAGCGAACAAGTTGCCACGGCCAGGACGAGCGGCTTGGAGCCCTTGGCTGTTGGCGCTGCCCAAGGCGAGGACGAGCAGAAGGCAACAGAACTGCGTCATCCTTTTATCGGCCTGCGAGCGGGAGGGGGCAGGCGGTGCGAGGCCGAGGGGGCGCAGCGCTGCCTCGGGCGGCAAGCGAGCGCATCGCATGGTGGGAGTGGCGCGCGGGCGCGGCGGGGTCCGTGAGCAACAGGCGTCGCGGCGGCATATGGAACCCTGGGCCCGTCGGGCGACTGAAACGCATATTCTCTCTAGGTCTCGAGGTGAATACGGTTACACATTTACTGCATGTGTGTCTTGTGAGCTTGTTTGTGTCTGTGTGTCGTTCGTGCGTGTCGTCATCATCTGTCTCGCGTCCACCCATACCGCGTTGGTGTCCAGTCCGAGCCTGGCTGTTCTTCACCTTTCTACCTACCTACTACTGCAGGATGATCGGACGAACAAATTCTTTTTCTTTCTTGTAAAAAGAGAAATCGCCCCCACGGCACCGAGTCGACACTCGCAGCCTGTGCTCAGTGATGCTTCGACGCGGCCTGTTCAAGTCGGCGCTTCTCATGTCGTTCGCCCACGCTGCCCGCTCTCTCGTCGTCCCGCCACGAACCCTCCTCCCCTCCCGGCCGTCGCCGTCGAAGCCAGCGCCAACGCCGCTGACGGAGGGCCCGACGGTGCTCGACGGGAGCCGTCTGGTGGACATGGCTCGCGTTGGCGCCACGGCGATCTCGCCGGACGGCAGCCTCGCCTGCTTCGAGGTCCGCCAGTACGACTGGTCGACGAAAAAGTTTGATGCGCAACTGTGGCTCGCCGATCTGCCCGCAGTTCTCGCCTTGCGGCAAGCACATCGCTTTCGTCTCTGACCGCGGTGGCGATAAGACGAACGGCACCGCAGTTTGGATCACGCCTGCCACGGGACCCGGCGAGGCGCGGCTCCTCGCCTCCTTCCCGGTCGCCGTCGGCGATCTCGAGTGGAACCACGACTCATCGGGGATTGTCGTGTCCGCGTCTGTGTACGTCGACGAGGCGGCGCGCGGCGCAAGCGGTCTAGCGGCGATGGAGTCGACGGCCGCGCGCGACAAGGCTCTGAAAGAGGACGAGTCTGGTCTGAACGCCGTGATCTTCAAGCGGCTGCCGATACGCCAGTGGGACTCGTGGCTCACCTCGGCCATGCCACACCCCTTCTTTGTCGGGGTCGTCCCCGAAGCGAAGTCGCCGTCAGGCTACAAGCTCACTGATGTGCCCGCGGTCGACCTCCTGTCTGCGGTGCCGACTGCGGTACCCAGCGGCGCATTCGGAGGATCGTAGGACTGGGCGATCTCCAAGGGGGGCGCCGTGGCGGTCTCGGCCCGCCCCCCTCTCGCTTCTGACGAGGCGTGGACGACCAACCGGCACATCTAAGGGTTTGTTCCGAAAAAGAAAGAAAGAAAGAAAACAGACAACCCAAGGGAGGGATGGGAGGACGGCACGCCGCCACCACACAGGGATTTTAAGGAGAGGTGTGTGATGCGCTAGCCGTCGCCCACCCTAGGGAGTCTGCCTCTTCCTATCTCTTTTCGCAGTCTCTCGCCGCTTCTCGCTGCAACCTTCATGCCACCTCGCGGCCGTCCCACTCTCGTCGTTCTCTCCCTTGTCACTTCCTCCTCTGTTCCGAAGAGTGCAGTCGGTAAGATGGATAATTTCTTTCCCCAGCTTGATTTCTTTTCCTCGCGATGTCTGCCCCGCCGCGCCGCCGCTCGCGCCGCCTCGCCCCCGCCGCAACCGCCGCGCCCTCGCCAGACACGCCGCCGCCCACCCGCCTCCTCGACCTCCCCACGGAGCTCCTCGCGCGCGCCCTCTCTCGCTGCGAACCCCTCGACATCGCTCGCGTCGCGGCCGTCTCTGTCCTCTTCCACGCCTCGCTCGCGGCGGAGGGCATCCGCTTGTGGGCGCAAGAGCGCGGCTTCGAGCTGCCGGCGCAGCCAGAGGGCGAGAGCTGCGCCGTGCAGTGGCTGTGCTTCGCCGCGCTGCTGCGCGAGATCAACCCGCCGGTGAGGCTTGCGGCAGGCCGTCGGCACAGCCTCTTCATCGACGGCGAGGGGCGGCTCTCGTCGTGCGGCACGGCTGAGGCTGCCGGGACTGCTCGGCCACGGCGAGGGTGTGACGCGGCTGAACACGCCGACCCGCATCCCGTCGACGCTGGGTGAGCGCGTCGTGAGCGTGTCGGCTGGAGTTGAGCACAGCCTCGCCATCACCGCCAACGGGGCCGTCTGGAGCTGGGGCTGGGGAGGCTTTGGCAAGTTGGGCCACGGTGACAAGCAGGACCAGCTGCTGCCCAAGAAGATCGAGGCCTTTGCCGGCCAGCGTATCGTCGCTGTGTCGGCTGCAGGCGGGCACAGCCTCGCCCTCACCGCCGACGGTGCCGTCTGGAGCTGGGGCCATGGAGGCTTTGGCAAGCTGGGCCACGGCGACGAGCAGAACCAGCTGCTGCCGAAGAAGGTCGAGGCCTTCGCTGGCCAGCGCGTCGTCGCCGTGTCGGCTGGAGATGCTCACAGTCTCGCAATCACCGCCGACGGCGCTGTCTGGAGCTGGGGCCATGGAGGCTTTGGCAAGCTGGGCCACGGCGACGAGCAGAACCAGCTGCTGCCCAAGAAGGTCGAGGCCTTTGCTGATCAGCGCGTCGTCGCTGTTTCGGCAGGACTCTCGCACAGCTTCGCAATCACCGCCGACGGCGCCGTCTGGAGCTGGGGCTGCGGGGGAGATGGCCGGCTGGGCCACGGCGACGAGCAGCGCCAGCTGCTGCCCAAGAAGATCGAGGCCTTTGCTGGGCGGCACGTCGCCGCTGTGGTGGCTGGATCCCAGCACAGCCTCGCCATCACCGCCGACGGTGCCGTCTGGAGCTGGGGCAATGGAGGCGACGGCAGGTTGGGCCACGGCGACGATCAGAACCAGCTGCTGCCCAAGAAGGTCGAGGCCTTGGCTGGCCGGTGTGTCGTCGCTGTGTCGGCTGGACCAAGGCACAGCCTCGCCCTCACCGCCGATGACGCCGTCTTCGCCTGGGGAAAGGGCGTGCGCGGCTGCCTAGGCCACGGCGACGACCTGTCGAACCAGCTGCTGCCCAAGAAGATCGAGGCGTGGGGTCTAGGGCAGTGAGGAGGGGGCATGAATGCGCAGTCGGCGGCCGTGAAAGCGCGTTCAGCTCGCTGGCCTCCACTACACGCCTCGCGCGACGGCCGGCTGCATGTGACGGGCGTGTAGCTGCGGGAGACGGGCGAGACGTGCAAGGTGGGGCTCTACATGGGCGCCGGCGTGACACTTGTTTTGAGGCTTTGGGTGTTTAAAATGAACTCAGGGGCACGGGACGCGGCACAAACGGCTTCTCGAGAACGGCTTGGGAGCACTTGGACCGCAACTTGGAGTGCGATTGGCCCCGCGCACTTGGAGCACTTGCGACTTGGAGAGGCCCGCCGAGCGAGTGCGAGCCGGCAGCCGCATCCGCGGCCATGTCTCCCGCGGCGCCGCGAGCGAATAATAATAATAGAGCAATCATCTCCAGGGAAGGGACAGTGCGCACCCCGCCCCGCCCGAAAAAGAAAGAAAGAACGAAGACAGACAGCCCAAGGGAGGGATGGGAGGACGGCACGCCGCCACCACACAGGGATTTTAAGGAGAGGTGTGTGATGCGCTAGACACGCGAGTTCCTTTTTACGAGTTTTCCACAACATAGCATGACGTTACGAAAACGGATATGGCTCCTCCAGCAACAACGTTCTCTTTGCCAAAGGAGCTCCCGTCGGTGCTGAAGGCCTTCACGCGGGAAGTGCTTCGCGCTAATCCGGCCGACATATACTCCTTCGGCGTAGAGTACTTTCGCGAGGTCGTTGTGGCCTCCAGGGCGGCGGCTGACTGCGAGCGGGCGTCGAGCGGTGAGGCGACCCACCAGAGGCAGGGACCTGAGGACACTGGAGCCCAGGCAATCGTCGCCCCTCCTGCTCCAGCAGAGCTGGCCGCTGCCCTCCCATCCGCCGCCGAACTCGGCGTGACCGAGGAGAAGCTGGAGAAGTGGCGCGAGCTCGGCGGCGGTGACCTGGAGCCGGTCCTCGCGAGCAGTGCCGTCGCCCTCCTTGACGCGCAGTGGATCATTGGCCACGCCGAGGCGAGCGGCGTCCTCACTCACCGCCAGGCGCTGCCCAAAGAAGCCTTCCTCTCCCTCAGCGACCTCGTCGAGACAACAATCAGCCATACTAGCCTTCCCGTCGCTGCGCTCTCCTACCCGTGGCTGACGAAGGACCACCCCGACCCGGACGGAGCCAACCTCAGCCGCATCGCAAAGGCGCTCAAGGCCCTGCTTAGCGGCGCCATCCGCGTTCCTCGCCTGCAACGTTTCATTAAAGCCGGCAGCAGTATCGAAATTGGGACAGAGCGCAAAACCATCTACCCGCGGCTCGGCGTCTTTTGGGACTATGGCTCGCTGCACCAGCACCCCGACCCGGCCAACGGCATCATGCGCACCGAGGCGGAGGAGGCACTCTTCAGGCAGGGGCTGGACTGCCTCGGCACGCTCTACTCCCACCCGTACACATTCGTGCTGCGGCTGACCTCCTTCCCAGACGGCCACAAGACGGAGGACCAGCCCGAGGGCACCAACGTGGCCAAGTACTTTGATCGCGGCTGGTGCTACACCGAGAGCAGCTGGGCGAGCCTGACCAAGTCCAGCGCCCTCTCGCTCGACCTCGGCCGGATGCGCGACGACATGGAGTACCACTACTTTGAACTCCGAGACGACTGCTCCAAGGACGGCGGACGGCGCCCTCCGCTGCATCCGTCTCGGTTCGCGGCGGAGCTGGAGACGAAGAGCTTCACCAACGGCAAGGGTGACAAGCCGCTCGTGAGTATGCTGTACAAGGCCGCCTTCGAGGAGCAGTTTGGCAAGTCGACCGAGCTGGACTACTTCAGCCTCGGCTGGGGCGACGCGGAGGCGGGGCAGCTGGCGGAGGTCCTCGCGAGCGGGGCAGCGCCGCGGCTCGAGACGCTCGGGCTCTACGGCAACAAGATTGGCGACGAGGGCTGCACGGCGCTGGCCGCCGTCCTCGGCAAGAAGGGGGCAGCACCGCGGCTCGAGAAGCTCTTGCTCAACGGCAACCAGATTGGCGATGAGGGCTGCAAGGCGCTAGCCGCCGCCCTCAAGGAGGGGGGCGCCCCGAGCTTGAAGGCGCGAGACGCCCCCTCTTTGCCACACGCCCTCCCCGCCCTGAGTATGCTCATCCTCCCCTCGCTTGTAGACGCTCTACGTGGACAATGAGGAGCAGCCCGAGCTGGTGGCCGCGTGCGAGGAGCGCGGCATCGAGCTCGTCTGAGCCTCCCCAGTCTGGGAGGGGAAAGAGAACCTCTTAGCGCCATCTGTTGTCATACATGTCGAGCGGCTCGGCGCGCCTCGGTCTTTTGCGCCTCGGCCTTTTGCTGCGCTTCGTGGAGCTCGGCCAGGGACGGGCGGTTGGGGAGGGCCGACTCGAGGCGCTCTTGGATGGGGCTGCGAGGGTGCAGCTTGCTCGGGGAAGAGAGGGATCGAGATGCGTAGCGAGGTCATGGTTTACCCACGAACGAGCGTGTCGTCGGAGCCACAGTTCTTGCCTTGGACGGGGTCACCCCAAACTCTGAAGGCGTCTGACCTTCTCAGTGTTGCTGTGAAATCACTCTCGCTTCTCGTAGCTCAAATATTTCAAGGTGCGCGCAGCCCAGAGGCAGGGCGGTCAGGTCGCAGCACACGCAGGTGGGAGACCTGATCGGAGAGAGGCCATCGAGAAAAAAAAATTGCGTTTTACCTGCGAAAGACACTACTCTCCCCCCCCCGTCACTTGTCCCCCTTGGCTTGGCGCGCCTCTCCCCCAGCTCTCGGTATCGCGTACTGCACGAGGCTACCGTGGGCCCCGCCTGCGCGCTGGGGGTTCCCTGCCCTGTCGGGAAGCCTAGCTCTGAACCTGGGGTCGCTACCTAATGCGGGGCTCCTGGACGGGTGATGAAGTTCGCCTTGAATCTCTCGTCTCGCTTTCCCCCCTACTCGCGTCCATCGGGGGTACTCCCGTGCTTGGCTCTCTGATCTCCCCCCCCCCCCCCCCCCCTCCTTCCCTCTCCGGGATGAGAAGCGCGCTGCTGTCCCTAGAGTGGGGTCGGGTGTTGGGGGAATTGATTAGGCACCATGTTGTCCGCGGCCGCCCACGGACGATCGCCGGAGTGGGCCGAAGGACAGAGGCTTGCCTGCGTGGGGGCGCGCGGGCGCCCACTCAGGCTCGGCCTCCGTTGTCTCAGCCTTCAGTTCACCTCTCCTAGCGCCCGGTTTTGCGTGGCGACCTTCATTTCGGGGTCGAAGGTGCTACACACACTTGCCCCCTGGTGGTCTGGCACTCGGCGTTATACCTACTGGGGTTCGGCTGTTTTTCTTTTATTTTCTGAACCTCGGGGGGGGAGGGGGGAAGTGGGTCCCCGCGGTGTTTTTTCTTTCCTGTCAGCAAAAAAAGCCTCGGCGTTCTCCATAGGGGTTCCGTGTTTTTCTTTCTTGGAATTCTTTTTGGGACAGGCCGTTTGTCGTAAGAATTTCGGCAGAATATTTTTAGTGGCGCGCACTCTCCCTACTTTTTCGGTGGGGTCGAAGGTGTCGGGGCGTTGCTCGAGGAGGCGCGGCGAAGTCTTTGACTTTTTTGTTTTCTTTTTGTGGCAAACAAGAAATACCGGAGGTTAATACAGTGCGCACAAGTAGCAGTACTGCGTGCGGCATGCGCGGGCTCGACGTGAGGCAGGCTGGCTCTACGTAGGGCTGTCGCGGGGTGCGGGCTGCATCGCTGTGCGGGGACTGCGCGGCGTGCACATGTACCTCGGGTTCCTTGTGCTGTGTGCTGTGTGCAGTCAGACTGGACAGCAAACTGAACGGATATGGCGGAGCGCGCGCGCAGCGTGCCACGCGCGCGCAGCGTGCCACGCGCGCGCCTCGTGCAGTGCAGGACGCGAGGCGGCAGGGGCGCAGCGGAGCACGCGGGCTGAATGGTTCAGAACAGGGCTGTTGTGCAGGCTGCATGCAGTCTGCACAGCAGCCCTGCTTGGGTAACGGAGCGCGTGCTCGGTGGCCTGCGCGCGCGGCGTGCCGCCGCGCGCGCCTCGCGGTGAAGCGTCCTGCCGGGCGCGTCGCGCTCCGGTGCGGCATGGTGCCTGAAGAAGGTGCAGGCGCCTGTGCAGTGGGCGCAGACTGCAGTGAGAGGTGCACTGCGGCGCGCGCGTCGCGGCGTGAGTGGTCGTGCGCCGGGCTCTGGTGGTGCGAGAGGCGCGTGGCTGGTGCGGGCGGCTCGGGACAGCCATGGGGTGCCAGCACAGAGCAGACGCACATGGCACAGCTCTGAAATGGCGCTGCGCGTGTTTGCGTGCGCGCGGGGACGTACGTGCAGTTTTCACGCGGTGTGCGTGGAGAGGGTCATGCAGGGCGCCGGAAGCGCGTGTATTGGCGTGTGTGGGAGTTCGGGTTGCCCGTAAGGCGGTAAGATTCGCATGAGAGGCCTCCATGCGATGAGGTGGACCAATTCTCGAAAGAAAAGGTGAGAGGCCATCGAGACTGATTCGAAGGCGAGGAACGAGTTGGCACTTGGCTCAAACAAATCCGAATCTCGCCTTGTGCTAGGCCGGACCCCTTAACCGCCACACCCTTTGTCAAAAGAGTACGCATCCTGTTCCTCTGGGGGGGCGCGGGGGCCCTAGAGGGGGGGAGATGGGGTCCCCCGGCCCGCCGCAGGCGCCGATTTTTTCGAGTTTTTTAAAGAACGAAAACAGACAACCCAAGGGAGGGATGGGAGGACGGCACGCCGCCACCACACAGGGATTTTAAGGAGAGGTGTGTGCTGCGCTAGCCGCCCGAGTTCGGAATAGCTTTTTTGTATCGCGCGCCTTGCGGGGGGGGCGCGGAAAAGAGGAACCTTTTTTTCTTCAATTGTGGCGGGGGTGGGCGGGTGCACGGAGCTAAGTGCCTCGCCACCCTCGCAGGAGTCGCTTAGGCGGCTCCCGTGGTGTACCTGTGTTAGTGCCAGTGCGCGCCAGTCCCGTGCCCAGTGTTGTGCGAGGGAGTTCACGGCTAAAATTCTTCAATTCCGCCGCCGACAAGCCTCCCAGCCGCCGCCAGCCCGCTCGCTGCCTCTCCACCGCCTCTGAGCCGCCTCTGATGACCTGCCCGTTGCTGCGACCCGCATCGCTGCGAGCGGTGCGCGGCCCGTTGCACCTTGCGCGGTCACCCGGCCTCGCCGCGGTCCGGCTCCAGCTCGAGGCGGCCGACGGCCTCCGCCGCCGCCGCTCGTACTGCAGCGCGGCTTTGCACGCGCTCGACTGGCAGCCGCTCGACTCGGGTGGCGCCTCGTGGACGCGCGTGCCAAAGCTGTGGCAAAAGATGGGCGAGGGCGCGGTGTTGCTCCGGGCGCACGGGATCGTGCCGCCAGAGGTTCGCGAGGCGGTGTGGGCGCTCATCCCGCGGCTGAGCTTTGACCGCGACGCGGACAGCGTCGACGGCGCGCCCACCTTTGAGCTGCGCTGGGCGCGGGAAGGTCGCTTCACCCATGACGGCCTCGCGGCGCTCCTTGCCGAGACGGTCGAGGAGCGGCTGCTGCCTCTGCTGCGCCGTTCGCCGCTCTGCGACCAGGGCGGCGGCTCCGAGCTGGTGCTGTGCGAGACTGAATTAATCATGAATAGTTGATTAATAGTTAATTAGGCTCCGAGCTGGTGCTGTGCGAGGCACTCGTGCGGTACTACGAGGACGGGCGCAGGCGGGTCCACCCGGCGCACTTTGACGCCGACGCGCTCGTGACTGCCGTGTTTGAGGTCTCGCCGCCCGACGGCTTCGAGGGCGGCTTCTACGTCCAGCCTGGGGCTCACGTCTCCTCGCGGCTGCCCGTGCGGCTCGAGGCGGGGGAGGTGATCGCGCACTCGTTTGACCTGCAGCACGGGGTCGAGGTGAGCTCCCCATCTCTCCCCATCTCTCCCCATCTCTCCCCATCTCTCCCCATCTCTCCCCATCTCTCCCCATCTCTCCCCATCTCTCCCCATCTCTCCCCATCTCTCCCCATCTCTCCCCATCTCTCCCCATCTCTCCCCATCTCTCCCCATCTCTCCCCATCTCTCCCCATCTCTCCCCACCTCTCCCCACCTCTCCCTGCAGCATGGTGTCGAGGTGCCGTTCTCCGCGCGTTGGCGCATGCACCTCTGAGCCACTCTGTTCACCTCCGTGCCGCTCCGCACCTCTGCACTCCACACCTCGTTGCCACTGCACCGCTATGCCACTCCGAACCTCCGAACGAGGCTCAGCCTGCACCTCTGAGCTCCGCCGTCGCCTCCTCCCTCCTCCGCGCGCGTCGCCGCCGCGGCCAGGTGAGCTCCGGCACGCGCTGCTCCCCCCATATCTCCCCATATCTCCCCATATCTCCCCATATCTCCCCAGGTGAGCTCTGGCACGCGCTGCTCCCTCATCCTCTGGTTCGCCGACTCTGCAGCCGCGTGCAAGGACAAGAGCCGGCCGTGGTACGAGCGCGCCGCCGCCAACGGCAAACGCTCGCCGCTGCAGAGTGCCCCTCAGACGCAGAGATGGGGAGATATGGGGAGATATGGGGAGAGATGGGGAGAGGTGGGGAGAGATGGGGAGAGGTGGGGAGAGGTGGGGAGAGGTGGGGAGAGGTGGGGAGAGATGGAGAGAGGTGGGGAGAGGTGGGGAGAGGTGGGGAGAGGTGGGGAGAGGTGGGGAGAGATAGAGATTAGAGTGCCCCTCAGACGCAGAGCTGAGCGCGAGACTGCGCGTCTGTGCTGTGAGCAGGCAGCGTCGACGCGCTCTACAACCTGGCCAAGAGTCGGCGCGTCGACGACCCGCGCGGCTCGCTCCGCGGCATGCGGGAGGCGGCAGAGGCGGGCCACTTCATGGCGCAAAACGACCTGGTGCGAGGCCAGAGCAGCAGCCGCAGCAGCAGCAGCAGCAGCAGCAGCAGCAGCAGCAGCAGCAGGCGCCTGCTCCTGCACACACACACCCTCCTCGATGCCGCGTCTCTCTTCACCAGGCGGGCATGCGGCTCGAGGGACGGGGGCTTGATGAATAGTTAATAGTTCGTCAATAGTCAATTAGGCGGGCATGCTGCTCGAGGGCCGGGGGCTGCCCGGCACCGCTACTCGCACGAGGCCGGAGCCTTGCTCCACGCCCGCCGCACGGCCGTCGCCACGACTCGCGTCGCATAGGCGCGGAGCCAGGACACTTCCGTGAACCTTCTATGTGCCTTCCATGATCCTAGACTTGGCTCCGTGCAGGCGCGGAGCCGGACGAGGCGGGCGCGGAGCGGTGGCTCAAGGAGAGCGCCGGGCAGGGTTTCTACCGCGCGATGGTCGGGCTGGCCGTCCTGTGGGGAGATATAGGGAGACATAGGGAGATATGGGGAGATATGGGGAGATATAGGTCGGGCTGGCCGTCCTGTGCGCTCGCCGCGAGAGGGCGGAGGAGGCGCTGTCGTGGCTGCGGCGGGCGGCGGAGCAGCGGGCAGACCCGGAGGCGTGCGGGCCGCATGAGTGGGAGTAGCGAGGAGCAGGAGTAGGAGTAGACACTCTGCCCCTGTCCGGAGGCGCGGGCCGCAGAAGAGCCTTCAGCTGCCTCGCACCCGCGCCACATTCCTACAAGCACGCGCCCCTTTCTTCCCGCCGCCCTCCGCCGCGCAGGTGCTATTTGCGTTGGGGATGAACTATTTGCACGGCACTCTCTCCGCCGCCAAAGACGCGGACCTCGCCGCAGAGTGGCTCGGCGGAGCGGCGGAGATGGGGCACCCAGCGGCGCAGGCGCAGCTCGGGCTGCTGCTGCTCAGCGGCGCCGACGGAGGGGGCGGGGAGGGGGCGAGCGGCGCCGAGTTGTGGCTGCGCCGTGCACACGAGCAGGGCAGCTTCGACGCCGCGACCGCCCTCGCCGGTCGGTACTTGCGCGGCGGCAGAGTCGGCGAGCTGGGCGGCCTCGTCGTGGGAAGGCTGCGGAGGGCCGGGCACGTCTCGTCAAAGTGGAGCTGGAGGTAGCGCGTAGCGGGCGTTGTAGCTTGAAGCTACAACGCCCGCTTGTACAGACAGACTACACTCTATATACAGTCATGACACATGAGGGTCAAAACGCGTTCCTATCGAGCCGCGCATGAACATGTGTGTCTGCAGTGGTGCAGAGAGTGTCGAGAAAGCCAAGGTTGTCGTTGCTATGTGCAACGCCTGTTATTCTGAATCTGATTTCCCGCTCTTTTCGCTTTCGAGAGGGGGAGCGGTGCACACTTCTGGAGTGAGTGGGGACTCTGGAGTCTGCTCGCGCAGCTCGTCTCGACAGGGTCTCTCTCGGTGCGACTCGCTTATCTCCGCAGTAATCAACGACAGGGAGAGTGCCAGCGGGGCCCCTCCGTCGGAGACCGCCCCTCGCGCACGCGCGCAGCGCGTCATGGAGTCATGTGTGTACAGCTGCAAGTGTCAGGTCGCAAGTCGGTCCGATCCGGACGCGGTCGCCACGCACCGCGCGGCGTGTTCAGCGCAAGTGCCGCGTGCCGCCTCAGAAGCCGGGCGACATGACGCGCACGTGGTGCTCGGCGGCGGAGATGGTGCGCCCCATCGCCTCGACCGTCTCGCAAGGGAACTTGCCGACGGCGCACTCCCCGGAGAGCATCACCGCGTCGCTGCCTATAAAAAAGAAACACGCGCTGAAAAAAGAAATAGACCACGCGCCGGAGAGCATCACCGCGTCGCTGCCGTCGAAGATTGCGTTCGCGACGTCGCTGACCTGGCGGGAGATATGGGGATGTAGGGGGAGATAGGGGGAGATATGGGGAGACTTCTTGAGCACGTCGCTGACCTCGGCGCGCGTTGGCACGGGCGCGTCGATCATCGACTCCATCATCTGCGTCGCGGTGATGCAAAACTTGTTCGCCTCGTTTGCTTTCTTGATGAGGAACTTTTGGGCGAAGGGGACGCGCTCCAGGCCGAGCTCAACGCCTAGAGACGAGCACCATATCTCCCCATATCTCCCCATATCTCCCCCACATCTCCCCATAGCTCGACGCCTAGAGACGACCACACCACTCGCCGCTCAGGAGACTCGGCGGCACGGTCGGCGCGCCGCGGGCGAGGGGGGCGGCGGTGCCGAGGTCGCCGCGCGCCACCATCAGCCCGTCGGAGAGGGCGAGGATCTCGTCAATGTTCTTGAGGGCCGCCGGCTTCTCGATCTTTGGGATGATGAGGGGGCGCTGCTCCTGGGGAGATATGGGGAGATATGGGGAAGATATGGGGGAGATATGGGGGAGATCTGGGATGATGAGGGGGCGCTGCTCCTGGGAAGATATGGAAATATGGGGAGATATGGGGGAGATCTGGGATGATGAGGGGGCGCTGCTCCTTGGGCATTCCCTTTGCGTCCATGATGTCGATCAGCTCCTGGGGAGATACGGGGAGATATGGGGAGATATGATGACGATCGGCTCCTGGAGTGCCAGAGATTCGCCCGAGATTCGCCCGAGATTCGCCCGAGAGTGCCCCGAGAGTGCCCCGAGACGAGGACGACTCGCTCCTGGATGTCGCCGCCCTTTTGCATGTCAGATCTCCCCCATACCTCCCCCATATCTCCCCATAGCTCCTGGATGTCGCCGCCCTTTTGCATATCAGATCTCCCCATACCTCCCCCATATCTCCCCATAGCTCCTGGATGTCGCCGCCCTTTTGCATGTCAGATCTCCCCCATACCTCCCCCATATCTCCCCATAGCTCCTGGATGTCGCCGCCCTTTTGCACGAACGAGACAGCCATGTAGTCCACCTTGTCGATCAAGTACCTGCAGCGCGAGTTCGCGGCGAGCCGTCGGGAGAGGGCGACTTCGGAGGCGGCGCCCTCGGCGACGGTTCCGCACGCGGCGTCGTCGCGGTCCTTGGCGGTGAGGGCGGCGCCTATGGGAGGTGCCTCGGGGGACGTGTCATGGACGCGTCCCGGACGATTGCAGTTCCCTCGGCGGTGAGGGGTAGTGTACAGTCGATCTGCAGGTCAGGCACGTTGATACCCTTGCGGGACTTGAGCGGCCCTCCGATTGTGATCTGGCAGCGGACCTAATTCATTAACGGTGAGCTGTTAATTAACTGTCAATTAACTAGCCGCCGATTGTGATCTGGCAGCGGACGGTGTCGGGCGAGACGCGCTCCGTCACCTGCGGGGGTAGGAGGGGGGGAGAGGGGCGGGGGGTGAGGAGGGGTCCGGTTGAGCGCTGTGGCGCTGCAAGCTAGCCACAGGGAAGGCCGTCGCCGGCTGATCTCGACTGATCTCGGCCGATCTCGACTGATCTCGGCTGATCTCGAACGGCCTTCATCGCGAGGAAGCCGTCGTTGAGCAGCACGTCCATCCCAACCTCACGGCTCAGAAACCAAATCCTCAAGACGGACCACCCTCGTCGCTGCGCACGCCCCCCCACGCCCCCCCCACCTCAAGCCCGCGCAGCATCGCGTTCTGCTCCGTCGTGTCGGCGAGGGTGATCCGGCCGGGGACGGTGAGGTCGGCGTCGCTCTGCATGAGCGCCATCTCGACCGTCTCGCCTGATCTCGGGGGCATCTCGGCTGAGCGGGAGAATCTCCGAGAATCTCGGAGAATCTCTACAGAGAGGTGGCGGGTCCCGCCGCTCTCTCGTGGAATCTCGTGGAATCTCGTGGAATCTCGTGGAATCTCGTGGAATCTCGTGGTATCTCGTGGTATCTCGTGGTATCTCGTGGTATCTCCGCGCGCCGACGACCAGCTCGACCGCCTCTCCCTGCACGGTGCCGCACCGGAACTTGGGGCCTTGCAGGTCTCCGAGGATGTAGACTTCGCGGCCGAGCTTGGCGGCGGCGGCGCGGATGATGGGAACGATCCGCTCGAAGTCGCCGCCTTGCCTGCGGCCGAGGGGGCGAGGTGCCGCTGTGAGGCGAGGGGCGTAGCGGGGAGGGCGCGGGGAGATACGGGGAGATACGGGGAGATACGGGGAGATGTGGGGAGATGTGGGGAGATGGCGTCAGGCGCCGGTGCGACGAGTTGAGGCGAAAGATGTCCAGGCCGGACTGGATGAGCTTCTCGATCATCTCGGCGGTCATGGTCGCCGGCCCCAGCGTGCCGACCACCTTGCCTAGCCTCGCCAGCGGGTCGTCCGGCCGCCAGTTTAGCAGCTCCGAGCCGATGTCGAGCGCCGAGCTCGGCCCGTTGTGCTTGCCGCTGTAGCCCGCGCCGCCGACCGGCGCCGCAGAGACGGAGGAGGCGGCGCTCATCGTCGCGGTCGGGCCGGCGCCGCCGCTGCCACGGGAGAGCGCGAGAGCGGCGGTCAGAGAGGGCAGGGAGACGGAGGAGGGAGAGAGACGCGAGCGGGACGGCGCGGGAGAGGCTTCACCCGGCGCTGCGCTTGGCGAGGTACTCGGCGAATGACTCGGCCTTGTGGATCGCCTGCTGCTTGCCCTTGGGGTCGTTGGGATCGTAGACCGTCGGCTCGGGGTCGCGCGTGGCCTCGCCACCGCCGAAGCCCTTTCCGCCGTGCTGCAGCACGATCTGCGCGCGGCGGTGCTGGGCGGCCATCGGCACGGCGACAAAGGCGGAGGCGGTGATGCACTGCATCGCGAGGAGAGTGTAGAGCATGGTGCTCGTCGGGTGGGTGCGGGAGGCCGCGGCGAGTTTGAGACGCCGGCGAGCTCAGCGCCGGATCTGAGCGGCTTATTGCAAACGGGTATTTCTTTTTCGGGAGAAATTGCTCTTTCGAGGTCTCGCCGACGCTCTGCTCCAACCGAGACCTCGAGACCTCGGGGATCGTGCTTTGCCCCGGGCTCGACACAGCGACGCTACCGGCCACACCCGAACACCAACGGCTCCGCTCTTTCGACGCGATGCACACTCCATACCGGGAGCCGCAAGCCTCAGCTTACGGTGGCGGCGAATGCTAGCTGTATTCGCCGGGCGTGCCACGGCGCCGGCCGGCCCACATCGTGCCGAAGCCGCAAACCGAGTGCCTGCTCAATCGTGCTGTCACTCGTGACCGCTTCGCGCCTACGTTGCTGCCACGGAGGCGCGCCGGTGTCACGTCCATTGGCGAGCAAATCATCAGACCGCGCGTGCTGCGCACGCAGCCACGCCGGCGCACGCGCAGCGTGAAAGCTCTCGCCGCAATCCCAGTGCGAAGGCAGCCACCGCAGCCCAACAAGGCTGGCGCCGAGGCCAGCAGCGCGTTGCCACCCCCGACCCGATCACACCGCGGCGGCGACGCCGCCTTTGCACCGACGCGGCTGCCTTGCTGACGCCGTACCAACCTGCAGGGTGACGAGCCGCTCGCGGAGCCCAGAGCCGGTTGGTGCTGCTGTTGTCGGCCGGAGTGTCGCCGTGACAAGCACGCCGCTGTCGGGCGGCGGCGAGCATCGAGATCGGCAGGGCGACATGCGGCCCGCTGCGGGCGGCGGCAGCACATGGCGGACGACCTTTACGCCGCCGCCCGCACATAGCCAGGCTCACGAGCTGCCGCCAGAGGCTACGCCGCACTTTGAGAGCCGCCGCAGCTCCGCGTACTGGTCAGTTCGGCCCTCGTGGGCGGGCTAGACGCGTCCTTCTTCCCGGCCGGGCGCTCGAGCTCGAGCAGATCCGGGCCCACGAGGCGGGCACGACCGCCTTCGTGGGCGAGGTCGAGTCTGTTGGCCGGCGGTGGGCGCGAGAGGCTGTGAGATGCGGAGAGCGGCTGCTGGCGGGTGGGGTGGTAGGTGGCCGGTCGTGTGGAGGCGCGGTCGTGGCGCGCGACACACCGGCAGAGAGGCGACCCGTCTGTCTGGCGCACAGCGTGTGGGTCTGTCGCCGTGCGGCGTGTGTGCGTCTGTGGCGGATGTGTGTGTGGCCGGTGTGTGGGCGGGCCGTGCATCGGCCTCGCTGCGTAGTCACGTAAAAAGGCGCGCAGTCGACTCTATTTCAGCGCAGTACTAGAAGCGACCCAACCCCACCATAGAAGTAATATCGTACAAAGGACACGGCCAAAGGCCCGACTCTCCGCAGCACACAAGCACACCTCCGGCTCAACAGTCTGCTTCACACCCTGTGCGCAGCGAGGAGGAGCACAACACAAGTGCGCCGAGGCCTCGGATCGCACGTCCCCAGCCCCGCCGCACTCCCCTCCCGCAGACGTGGTTCGGAGGCGCGGGCGGCGAGTCGTACACACAGCCATCGAAGGCCTCAGGTTCTCGCCGCTCCCCCGCCCCTCGCCAAGCGCAAGGGCTCGCTCTGGTCTGCTCTCTCTCTCGACTCTCTCTCGCCTCGACGCCGCAGCCGCGCCTCGAGAGGCGCCGCCGCCGCGGCCGAGCGCTCGAGGCAGCTCGCGTCGCCGCCGCCGCCGAGCCGCCACACCTCCGCTCACTCCGTCGCGCGGCCACGCCGCAGCCACGCCGCCCGCCCGCCGCCGCCACACGCCTCGCCGGCCAGAGACGTTGGCGCGCTCACTCCGCCTCGTTGAGCTTGCGGCGCTTGACCTGGCCGACGGCCAGGGTGTCCTTGGTCGCGAGCCCGCCCTCCGCCCGGCAGCGCTTGAGGTGCGTGGCGAGCTCCTTCTCGTTGTTGCCTGCGAGCGAGCAAGGGTGTGGGACGTGAGAGAGGAGGGTGGGTGGCGAGCGTGGTTTGAGAGACAGAGTGGGGGAGGGGGGAGCAGCGCACTCTTGCCGCGGTCGGCGTACGACGCCCAGCCGCAGACGCAGGCGGCGCCGATCACGCAGTGGCCGTCCGCCTTGGTCTTCGAGAGCCGCCCCTCGCCGCAGGTCGGGCAGTGGTAGGGCCAGATGCCCGTGTGCTTGGGCTCGTGCTCCTTGTAGGCCGACGGCGAGCGGAAGCTCTCGCCGCAGCCATCCCACAGGCAGCGCTTGTTGTCGTGCTCGACGCCGTGCGTCGCTGCGCACGCCCACGCCGCGTCAGCCGTGTCGTGCAGCGAGTCGCAGCTTGGGCACACGAAGCCCTTGCGTGGCGGGTCGCCGATGGAGTGGAGCGCCTCGTGCCGCTGCACCCCCTGGAGGTTGATAGTGCCGCTGCTGGAGAGGGTGCACTTGGTCCACGGCTTCGCGCAGCCGTCAAAGAGGCACTTGACCTGCGGCCAGGCGGCGAGGGGGGGCGTGGGCGTGCGCTGGCGACGAGGCGACCGGCACGAGGCTCGGTTCGCTCCGCGGCGTGCGCTGCGGGGCGGGGCGGGGCCCTCTGCGCGGACGGCGAGTGAGGGCGGCGGCTACTCTACTACGCGCGGCGCCTCGTTGCCGTTGCGGACCTCGCGGCGCGGCTCGAGCCCGGGATGGGCGCGCTCGATGTGCTCGAAGATCCCCTCCGCCGTATCGCGGAACTGAAGGCGGGGAGGGAGGCGGCGGTGGAGGGAGAGGGGCGCGCGCAGAGGCGGCGGGGTGAGGAGGCGGCGAGGGGGTGAGGCGGAGTGAGGGTTGGCGGCGGCGAGGGCGGAGGCGTGGGTTAGGGTGGAGAGGGGGGAGGAGGCCAGAGGGCGGAGGCAAGACTCGCCTCGTCGCAGTCGGGGTTGATGCACACGAAGCCGCGGCCGCCGGGGGTGATGCTCGCAGAGGCGCCGCGGGTCGAGACCCGCTTCTTCTTGCGCTCGCCGCCCGCCTGCGGACGTGGCGGCGGTCGACGCTCGGGGCGGGCCGGATAGGGCGGCGCGGAGCATCGCCGGGCGAGCCACAGGCAGCCGTTGCGAGAGCAACCCCCCGCGCCAGCCCGCCTCTGCCGCATGTGGGGTGCAGAGGGCGCGCAGGGCACCTTGGCCTTGCCGCCGGTCGGCGCCTTCTTGGCCGCCTTCGCCTTGCGGGAGGGCTTGGCGGGCGCCTGCGCGACAGAGGGAAGGAGCAGTTAGTGCGCGCCACGAGAGCGACGCGCGCGGGCTCCCTGACCATCAAGGCCTGCCCGTCCCCCCCCCCCCCCCCCGAAAAATCTTTCATCCCTATGTGCCATCTACACTTGCACTCCCTTCCATCACTCATCGTTTGTCGCCAGCCCGCGCCACCTTG